TATCGTAATCCTTATGGATATATTCAGTGTTTGCAAAATTTTCGAATTTTTCTCTTTCAAATTTGATGCTAAAAATGACTACTAAAAATGACTATTTTGCAAGACACTGGCATCAGCAGGAGGTCCATCTAATGTAAGAATTACAACCAAAATTTAAAAAGTAAATTCGAAATGCAAATTTCGAATTGTGTAGTTTAATTCCATAAAAAGCGGTTACCAAAATCGGTCGCTGCAAGACCTTTTTAGCTTTTCGTCTATTTGTAGTTGTATGCAGGTGTATTTCCTTGATTTCTGGAAATCACGATGCTGAGTACACACTGGAGATACCATAATCACTAAATTTGGTAACCTGACAAAATTTCTCATATATTCGATTTATGTTCGTCACAATCGTCTTTAGGATCGTTTAACGATATGGGCACCTTATGATGGAAGTAATTACATATTCAGAATGATTCCTCATAAACTGAATGAGGCTTCCGGAAGATCTTTGAACCGCTATCACATTTCTGTCAGTTATTTTTTAAGTATAGAAAAACCACAAAATGACACTGCAAATTTGAATTTAGAATACAAAAATGTTAAACGAATTTTGAAATGATTTAATAATATATTTTTTTGAAAAGATTTTTGAAAATCCTTTCAACTCTTTTTCAGCATATAATACTATTCCTCGAAAAGCCTCATAGTTTATTGTTGAATTTTCATTCGAATCGAATAAAAAATATTTGCGGGTATCGAACCATTCACACCGAATCGCTTAAACGCTAAAACCCAACGTGTTGAGCTCGCACGATTTATGAGTCGTAAAAAGCGGTGTTCACACCGTCTTCTTGTGATTTACGAGGGATATTGGCGCGAAAATTCAAAGGGGGTCGGCAGAATACACACAGGCACGACATACCCAACCGAATGTACTTCAAATTTATCTCATCGCATCAAAATGTGTGTGGTTCTGTGTTGCTCGTAAAATACTGGCGGCCCGATACAACTTGGAATTAGTTGGCGGGGTCCGATGCGCAATTTATGGGCGCGCGAAATCATTAAATTTTTGCTGATGCGGCCGACACTATTGAGATAAGCGTGAACCGGATGAGCCGACGAAAATTTCGAATTTTTGAATCGAAAAAAATCGGCTGTGAAATTGGGGATTGTGAATACCGGAATCAGTCGTCACGAGACCCGAAAATGCTTTTTATGATTTTCTAAATTATATTCATACCTTCAAAATACTTTGCTATTTAAATTATTTTAATAAATAAACCATTTTCATTTAAAAATGAATATTTTAGAAATTTTTTCAAATATTTGTGGATACAGTAACGCACAGTTATTGGTGCTGGGTCTCACGACGACAATGGTACTCATCATTGGAATGCGCGAACTTCGAATATCATTCAATTGTTCTTCATTCGATGATGTGAAATTGTAAGACTGGCCATTCAGAAGTTGCTAGCATATTACACCTGTTGATTACTGGTTGCTGTGTGAAATGTCGGGCTGACAGAATTTGATGGATGTCTCGATTCCGCCGCCGCCGCCGCCGACACCGTCTCGCGGCAGCCACCACCTCAACACTTCTTCAAGAGATGCCTATCTACCGTAATCCATCTTTCAGGTTTGCCGCTTTGTCTGTGTATGTGTGTACATATATTGTCAATTAAAAATGTGCTATTGCTTCTGCAAGTCAAGCGCAAAGATAGTCATCATTTTCTCGGAAAACGAATATCCAATTGAAAAACGTCGCCGTGTCGAATTTATCGACGTTCGGAATCTCGTGTGAGTGTGAATCGCACCTTTTACCCGCGCGCCGCCCTGAAGACATTGAAGAAATGTGACATGTTCGGGTGGTGAACATTTCAAACAAAAACAATCTGTGAGCTAAACGAAATTGAGGGACCAAAACGTTGAACATTTGAAAAACAAAATTATTAAAATAAATTTTCAGGAAACATTTGAACACATCGAAGAAAACTCATTTTAAGCATTCCTACCGAAATGGATGAATTGAAAACTCTGGAATTTGAATGCATTCAAATTGACCGAAACAATCTTATCGAATCAAGGAACGTAACATTCGTTTTTTAGACTTTATTCTAATTTTACCTAGTTTTCTCCTTTTATCTTTAGAAATCACTTTTACTTAAAAATTGATAATCTTAAATTTTATCAGTCATGCGAATTTTAGAAAATTTCAAAATGGTTTCCCGTCTTCAATTCTTGCAGGTCGATTTCTGTGTTAAACCTGGATTATTTTTTTAATTTCTGAAACACAATTTGATAATGCAAATATGACTAACAAATAATGCAGACCATTGAAAGACTGATTATAAATAAAAAAATATATGTATATTCAAAATTTGCCACTTTTTTGGAGATCAAATTGAGCTACGAGCCTCGAATTCAAATTAAAGTATAATATGCAACTGAAAAAAAAAACATTAAAAAAAGAAAAATATTACATTACAAAAAAATTCCAACTGTAAATTGGAATCGTCTCTATAAGAAGAAGCTATAGTAAGTTTCCAGGCAGTTTTGCTGATTTATCTCTAATTGTATTTAAATGAATAATTATAGTGGGCTTTCGGTTTTTGAAAATACTAATTTCCAAAATAAATCGTAAATCCTAAATAATTTAATTTTGACTAATTTTATTTATATGCTTCCAATTGGTATTTTTAGCTTAATTTCTCTAAAATATTAAAAGAAGCTCTTCGAATAATTTTAAAAGGAAAATAACCGAAGTGTCCGTTGAACATGTTGATTCAAAATGTCATATCCGTTACACGAGTCGTTTGCTGAACAATTTATTTGTGTGGATGATCAGATACTATTCAGCCTTGGAGGTAAATCTCTCATGTTTTTTTTGCAATTTGCGCCTTTGGTCGGAATGCGTTGGAAGTGGTGGTCTCGTCTTCAAACATTGACACATTTTTTGACGAGATGCAAAAACTGAGACCGATTTTGGAATGCTATCTCGTATGAACCATCGAGGCGCCGCGAGACAAGCATCGGAAATGATTGATGAGATTGTTCAGGGTTGGTGCTTCGACGACGACGACGATTCGATTCGATTCGAACACACATTCATTTATGTTGACTCGAACCGAAACAAGGTGTCAAAATCGCGCATAATCCGAAGTGACGCTCGTCATCTTCGCCGGCGTGTCATTGGTACTGACAATCGGCGGGTCTCGCAACGAATTAGACTCAAAGTGACACGCACACACGCAGCAAGCACACAAGTCGTTTCGATTAATCTTTCCAAGATGGGTTCGTTGGAAGGGATTCCTAGCAACAAAGTTGGTAGTGATAAATAGGTGTCAGCAGGCGTCCCGCGGTGCAGCGAGATTTGACAACGACGTTTCGACTTAAAAAATAATTAACTATGCGATATCAATTCTTTGTTATCGCGGAAATGAGGCCAACAATTTCGAATAGCTGCTACAACACTAAATTTTTGGGGACTTACCATTTAATATAGGCAATTGTACACAAAAAATCGTTAAAAAATCGTATTTTTTATGGTTACGGTTTTGTGATACTGTGCATTATGTCGTGCATGTGTACGCACCATTTTTTCTGAAAATTTTAGGCCAGCTGAAAATTTTAATTTTGTTTTCATTTTTCGATTTGACTCACCATTTCAACGTTTTATTTTTCAATTTCTCAAATAATTTATTACTATTATGTTCGGTTCATTTTCAATGAAACAAACAAACAACACAAATTAATCGTCTGCGCTGCTGAAAATATAGAGGCGTATGATTTTAATCCTTTGAGTAAACTGAAAGGTGCCAAAGAGTTCGTGGCGGTATGAAAATCAAATACGTTGATCTAACCAGGTGCACTAGGGGAATTGATATGTTATCAGCTCCGACTTCAAAAGTTATGGCCTCTTTTTTTCAAATGATGGTTTTTTGCGTACTGTATCAGAAAAAATTATGATAGATTTCTGGAATTCGACAATTCTTTGATAAACGGAAGATCTTTATGCTTTAATTCTATAATCTTATTTTTAGACAACGCAGAACCGGTTCGAGGGGCTTGACACATTCAAGCTTCAGGACAGCGAAAATTCCGCAAAACGGTCAATTGGTATTTTTTCGAAATGTTATATATATATATCGTAGCAAAAAACGAGCACCTGTAAAAATTGTGTACCATCGTATTTTTGGGCTGAAATCCCAATTTCAATTTTTTAAATCATGTAAATTCGGATAGCTTGCGATTACAACTCACCGTAAATCGGTGCTCGTTTTTTTTCAAAACATGAAAACTGATGCGGGAGATTTCTCTCTGCCAGATAATAGAAAGTTTGTGATTACTACTTATAAAAGTGTTGATTTTAAAATTGAAAGTTTTGAGTTTTATAATATAATGAATAAGTTTTGAATTCTGTTTCGTAGAATAAAATGATAATCTAAGAAATTTTTGGTTGTGATAATTAAAGTGGTTATCGCAACGCACGTGGCTATAAAAATTTTGGAAAGTATTATGTGAGAATGTGCTGACAATTCGAGCCACGTTTTTTTAATCTTTACCTAAAAGCTTGCATCATTTGATAAAAAGGTAACATAATCGCACCATATAATCCGATGATTCTTGTTGGAGGTGTGAAGAAGAAACAAATTTTTTATTGATTTTTTTTTGCATATTCCACGGTTTGAAAACTAGACACCAGAATTGATTATTTATCTTTTTGGTCGATTATTTAAAAATGAGTTTCATAAAGGGATTGTAAACCGCCAATATTTAAAATCAATTTGACATTTTTACAATCAAATAATACCCAGTAGTCAAAGTATGATAGACGTTTTGATGAAAATTATCTTCCGGTTATAAGCTTATCAGTTCCAATTGATATGATGTCGCCGCATAGTATATTTCTATAAAAATACAATTACGAATTAAATTTTTTGAAAGTGCATGAAAGTACGAAAATATGGTACTTTCCAGGTTTATTTGACATGTTTTCGTATATAATTCTTCGTTTTCAGATGAGTTGTGACACCAAAAACGAGATGGAATCTCAAAATGATCCCGACATTACTGTGGATTCAAAAGACGAATTTCTGACAGATAAACAAAAACCACAGGACAAGTACAATCTCGTATTTTGGATCATTCTTCTCAACGGAATCGGAGTTCTTCTTCCATGGAATATGTTCATTACTATTGCGCCAACGGTATTCATTTCAAAATAGTCTTTATTAATCATACTTTTTAGTATTATGTCGATTATTGGTTTACTGTCAATGGTACAAAGACGAGTTACGCTGATAGTTTCATGAGTGCCACTGGAATCGTTGCTCAAATTCCAAATCTACTCATCGCAATTATCAACGTGCTTAATCTCATCTGTGGTCCCTTGCTTTACCGAATTATCGGTCCACTCACCTTTAACAGCCTATTAATTATACTTACTCTTGGATTCGTCATTTTCCAAGAACCTTCCGATGAAGGTAATATTATTAATATGTAAAGATAATTGGTTTTTTCAGCACGAAACTGGTTTTACATCGTATCATTAATCATTATTTTGGCGATGAACGGATCTAACGGCCTTTACCAAAATTCGTTTTTCGGGCTCGCAGCCGATTTCCCTTCGAAATACTCAAACGCTGTAGTTGTCGGTACTAACATTTGCGGAACATTCACCAGCATTCTCCAAATTCTTGCTATTATTGGTAGGAAATGAATATCTGTAAAAAATTGAATATTTAATTATAGCTTTTCCTAATGCACCAAGAATGGCCGCAATTCTCTATTTTGCGATTTCGTTTGCTGTTCTTTTGATTTGTCTTCTTTCTTGGTGGTTTTGCAGAAAATTGGTAAGTGTTTGAATTATTTGAAGAGTGCAAAATTATCCGTCTAGGAGTTCTTTAACTATCATGTTGAAAAAGGAAATCGCGCTCGTATGGCTCAAGAATCTGTCACTTTCGACATTATGCTATACATTAGAACGTTCAAATACGTAAGCTATTCAAGAAATATGCAATCTACTCAAAAATTTAGTGCTGGCTACAATGTCTTTCCGTGTTTCTTGTATATTTTGTAACCCTTTCTGTGTTCCCAACTGTATTGGCTGGAGTCTCTCCAACCAACAGTAATGGTGATTGGAAATCGGTGTTCTCAAAGAACATTTATGCTGCAATTACTACTTTCTTGAATTTTAACCTCTTTGCTGCTGTCGGTTCAATGATGGCAAACTTTGTACAATTTGTAAGTTTCAGCCGAATCTTTTTCAGATTAATCGTTTTTTTTTTCAGCCCAATGAGAAATTCCTCATTGTCCCGGTGGTTTTGCGCATCGCCTTTATTCCATTCTTTATGTTCTGCAACTACATTCCCGATTCTCGTCACATGACTGTGCTTTTCTGGAACGAATGGATCTTCTTCTTCGGAAACACATTTATGGCGTTGACAAGCGGCTACTTCTCATCGCTCGGAATGATGTACGCTCCTCGCGTTTGTCCTCCCGAAAACAGCAAACTCGCTGGTCAAATTTCGGCGTTGTGCCTCGTTGCTGGAATTACGGCTGGTGTTAGTTTCACCCCTGTCATCACTCTCATGGTGCAGAACATTGGTTCGTAAAACCCACCGTTACCTGTCCAATTTTGTTTGTTCTTTTTTTGAGTTTGTTTCTTGATTTTTGTATATACATGCGTGTATATTTCAACACTTGTAGGTTGTTGTTTGTTCTCATTTTTTTATTTCAATGAATAAAATTCATTTTGGAGCTAACTCCCACGCGATCCCTTGTTCGGTTCGACTCGGTGTAGTTCATTCACCAAAAAATTCAATGGACGTCACCGAACCGGGCAAACAGTTGTAATGGCATTTTGTTTGCCAAAGGGTCAAGGATCGAAAAAGAATAGCATCGATTGTGACCGGGAACGGCCCGCGGTATTTGATCGCCAAACTGTTTAGTTTTAATAGCGAAAATCACGAATTCTGGAGAAAACTTACAAATGTAGTTTGTTCAAAATTCAAACTCATTCATATTTACAGAAGCTTCTCATATGAAAAACTCAAATAGACGGTGTGTGGTGTACAGGAGGTTTTCTGAAATAATTTCAATTTGAGTTTACGTCTCAAATTTCAAATCAATTTTGGGGAGGGCACGTCGCAGTGAAAATTTAAAAAAAAAAGTTTACTGAATTCTTTCTTTTTTTGCGCCTTTGATGAGTTTCGGGAATTTCCTCAAATGAAACAATGAAAAACGAATGGCCGGTTACTCGCTTCAAAGAGTTTTTTTCCACATGAAACCCAAGACGGCAATTGAAATGATACAGTAATCAAACCCTAAAATCCCATTACTTTGTTCGAGAAACTAAAAATTAGACGTGATTCGTGTTTTCATTGGATTTTATTTTATCGAATTCTACATTTTGAGTTTTTTTTACTCATCTTTAAATTTTTAATCAACAGTGCGACTATAATTAATATTTAGTCATATCTAAGTTCAGATTCTAAAATTATAGATGAAATCGAGTATTGAGAAAATAAAATTTGTACAAAAAATGAAATATAAATATATTTGAGGATTATACCTTTTGCATTTTTTTACATTCCTGGGTTCGAAACAATTTAAATTTTTAGAAGAAAAATCAAACCTTGTCGCGAATTTCAGAAACCATTTTAAAGTTAGCATTTCTTTTAAAAAAATTTTGCAGACTGGGGGGTTCAAAAAACAAATTTTTGCATGCAATTGGAAATCTCAGACAAACATTGTTGAAGCGGTATCTCGAGTGCTCTGATGTGTGCTGTACGTTCCGCATGAATTGTAGACCAATAAGTGTATTTTTGTTGCAAAGCGAATTAGTTTTTGATGTCTCTTCTCAAATAGTCTACTAAAAAGCACATACACACACATAGTCACTTATTTCTCTTGTATTTGCCAATGTAAAATTACTACTCCCAAATACAAGTTCGTTTACTTTGAGGTGGGATTGAGGCGTGAACAAAAATCAAACAAAAGAGTGCGCGAGCGGGTCCCGACTACAAAAGTCGGGGCCCAACGCGAGAATTCTCATTACTTCGAACACACCCGTCCCCACTAAAAAATACCAAAAAAATGTTCAAAATCCTCTCGACTCTCGTGTTCGCCGCGGGTTATTTCGGGTGTGCCCTTGCCGCTCCGGTTGGTCCCGATTTCAACAATATTCAATATGCTCACAATTTCTCGCTGACATATCAAAATGGAAGTCTTGCCGGTTTGGACGCCATCGATTCCTGTAAGACAAAGAATTTTCAAAGAATTCGAATCGCTCTCTTGAATTTGTAGATCCAGACGTTGATTCTCAAATGGCTCAAAGTTTGAAAGAAGCGATCAATCGAGCTTTACCTGGTTATTTGGAGTCGCACCAGCCGCATTCTGTTCAACACGACCAGGTAATTTTTTGCGTGCGCTAGGAAAACTTTAAAGGGAAGCCTTTTCAAACGCTTATTCAAAAAATAAGCGCAGACCAAAAGCAAACACATCAGGTCCATAGATCAGAGCATTAAACGATCTTCTGCAAACCATTGCCCAGTTGATTCTTATTTGTTCTTGGATGACGCATCAATCCAGACATTTTGTAAAAAAAATAGTAAACTGAAAAATAGAGAAAATTAAATAAACTGCAAGTGCAAAATCACACGAAGAAACAAGAAAGTACACAAAAAATTGCAGAATAAATAAATAAACGATCTTTTGATACAGTGCATGTCCTGTTTTCAGCCAAATTTAGAAAGTATATTGAAATTTCTCAAAATAAATTTTTTAGGAAGGAAGTGGCGTAGAAATGGTCAGCGATCATTCAGTGAGTTCATTTTTCATAACATTGGAAAAATTGAATGATTGGTTTCAGGTAAGAGCTCGCCGACAAGTTGAAGCTCCAGTTGATCACGCCATCAACGAGAACAATAATGTTGTTTCGAGCACTCAACCCTACGGAACTGACGAGGAATTCTACGCAAGAACTGGTAACTTCGTTTAATGAAACAATTACATAAAATAAAAATCTACTATTAAGATCTCATTCACTTCCACGTCGATATTGATGTGCCAGAAGGCAGTGGAGATAAACCATTCCCGATGCCAGGATTCAACTAGTTTGAACGTCATTCATATTCATTTAACCTTATTTAATCTGTACAGGGTGTCATTTAAGTTCCCGCACAACTTTGAAGACGTATATTTCTGAAACTAAAAGTCCAAATCAAACGAGACTCGAAATATTTTTTATCTATAGTATAACAAATATTTATCTATTAACTCTTTTCGATTCGGCCTCTTTTCGCAGCTATGACTTCACGGAGACGCTTCGGGTAGGATTCGACTGTGCTACGCAGGTATTCGATGAAAAGATTGTCCCATTCCGCCAGTAATGTCTTCTTCAGAGCCTCTTCACTTGAATGGGGTTTTGCGTTGACCTTCCCCTGCAAGACCCCATCACGGAAAAGTCAAGCGGGTTCAGATCTGGGGAGCAATCAGGCCATTCGGATGACTTGATGAAGTCGGGAAAATGGGTCTGGCACCACTCCTGAGTAGTTTTGGCAGTGTGGGCGGGTGCTCCGTTCTGTTGAAAGACCCATTTCTGCCTACCGAAATGCGTTTGGGTCCAGGGCATCAAATGCTTCTCCAAAATGTCCCCAACGTAGACTTCTTTGTTCATTTTCACCCCTGATCCACGAAAACCGGGGCACATCCCGGTTGAGCAGATGGCACCGAAAGCCATCCACTGGCAGGATGTGAGGCTCGATGATTGTTCTTCCTTTCTCGAAGCTTGCTGGGATGTCTGGGCAAGTACTCAATGGTTTTGTGAGTTGATGCCGCCTCCACAGTGAACAGCTTCTCGTCGGGAAGACAGTGACGAGGTGTTCTCCGACCGCGTGCGAGCGAAGTCGTTTTGCTTTTTCGAAGCGTTTCTGCTTGTTGACGGCTGATAGATTGCCGCTTTTTGCACGATATGGGGTCGTAGCTTCTTTTGACGATTTGTTCCATAGTGAGATGCTCATTCCCACGTCTGATGCCATCTTTCTCTGCTCCTGTGGGGGTTTCGCATGATCCTCGATTTAACGGCGTTTATCTTCTGAGGAGTGGTTACTGAGACGAGTCTTCCTTGCCTGGGACGGTCACTAGTCGTATTTAGCTCCTTGAATCGTTTTATGGTGTCATAAACCGTTCTACAAGGCACACCGACCCGTTGAATGATGTCTCTCGGGCTCACATTTTGCTTATGAAGTTCGATAATGGAAGCGCGATGGATGTTAGCCTTCACCATTTCTCGGAAACACATCCGAATGAGGTGAAACTTGGAAAGTAAGTAAAATATACCTTATTTAACAAAAATAAATTGTATTGGTGCACGAAAAGTGTGACAGCCAAGCTCTTCATGGCGTCAAACTTTTGTGCGGGAACTTAAATGACACCCTGTATATACATTTTGATTTAATAAATAATTCTCATAATAGACATGAAATTGGTGTGACCACTTGATGAGAAAGAAAACAATAATTGGCTACTGACTTTAAATAACGCTAAATTTAACAGTTTCAGTGTTTTGTTGTTGGGATACACTTTCTTTTTTCCGATTTTAAAGACAGATATTACATTTTTGTGTAATATAACACTTTAATTAAAAAAAGAGCACGATATTAAGAAATTTAAAAGCGACGAAAAATTAATAAAATAGAAAAGCGTCGATCGAAATGTATTGTACGCAGTGTGGAATGACGCACTATTGCGGGATTCGGCAAAAATTAATTTTTTTTATCTCGCTTAATATTTTTTTAAATATTACTCAGCAAGCCGAGCGGGCGAAACTGTGGCAGAATGGTGGCAAAAGTAACGGACGCCCGTTTTCTGCAACCATTGTGCCCCCATTTTTGCCCTAGTTGTGCCATCGGCGGTTTCTGCCACCGTTGTTCCACAATTTCACCCTAGTTTTGCCTTCAGCTAGTTTTTGCCACGGTTTCGCCCGCTCGGTTTGCTGACTTCCGAAAGATTCATGATTTCCCATAAGTTGAGAAGACTTTTTTCTTTTTCAAGTTTTTTTTTCATTTTCAATGAACGTTGTTTTCAATTTTAATATTTCGTCTTTCAGGAATCTTCTACATGAAGTTCCAATATTTTTTATTTTTCTATTTTCTGACGAAACTAACACACGCACTCAACATTCTAATATGGGCAACGACAATTGGACGCAGTCATGTTGCATTTATGGGCGGATTAGCTGATATCGTTCATCAAGATGGTCACAACGTGGTATATATTCTTTTTGTTCTTTTTTTCTTAAATTTTACAAATTATGAGTTTACAGACTATGTTTTTATTGCAAAATGATCCTGATGTTGATATAAACGGAACAAAATATGTAAAAAATATAATCAAGTTCGAATCGCCGTTAGTCGAAGATTCGGAGTGGTCGTATTTCAATTTTAAACAAACCGATATTTTCTACACAAAAACAATTGATATGGGTGATTTTTTCCGCATGCAAAGTGTAAATTCGCGGTTGTGTCAAAGTAAGTTTTCAATCCTTCAATTCTTAATTAAATCAATTTTCAGCACTAATAAACGATTCAACTCTTCTTGATTATCTGAGAAACCAAAGTTTCCATTTAGCGATTGTAGAATTCGTGCACTTTTGTCCAGTAGCAGTTTTAGAACATATCGGTATGATGAATGAAATCTCTAAAAAATATCGAATTTAAATAATTTCAGGAGTTGACAAAGTGATTTTAGCGACTGCACTTGGATTGACACATGCACACTATGAGCTACTTGATCTCCAAATGCCCTTGAGCTATGTTCCAGGTAAATTCGCACTATAAATGAGATTTAGTAATGAATAATTACAGTCCAAATGACGCATATGGGAAGTATAATGACATTTTTTGGAAGAATTTATAATGTTGGGTTTTACTTAGCCAGTAAATTTTGTTATAATTATTTGCTATGGCAAGATCAAGCAATAATAAGAAACAAATTCGGAGCAGATTTTCCGGACCTTGAGACACTTTATCGGGTATATTTTAGTAAATTTAAAAAAAAATGCTAGTCAATTACATTAACTTTTTTTTTAGAAAAAAATTGATTATGTTTTTTCGAATACAAATGAATTCACGGAATCGACTAGACCCACTTTGCAATCGATTATTCACATTGGAGGCAGTACGACTGCTAAACCCCAACAACTCAATAATGTGCTCTCCTAATCACAGAATATAAATAAATGAAACAAAATTCAGGATTTTAAAGCGATTTTGGCGAAAAAATCAAAAGGAGTTATCTTATTTTCTCTTGGATCTCTGTTGAATGCTGATAATATGCCAGACTTCATAAAAAATGGTATCTCGTTACCATTGGAACTTTCAATTTTTAACTCTTCAGCATTCTTCGAAGGTTTTCAAAGTTTTCCGGAATACACCTTTATATGGAAAACTACACGAATGAACAGTTCCTCGTTTGGAAACATTTACTATAGAAATTGGGTGCCGCAGGTTGATCTCTTAGGTTTCAATTGAAAGTCTATTGTCGGTGTCGATTGCGTAAAATTAGCTAAACGCCAAAAAACAATGAAAGTGATTCTGGAGCAAAAATAAAAGTGTAGATTTACGGGCCTAAGTGTAAGGATCGGTTAAAGGCGCATACCGCTCTCTCTTCTTAATTTTTTTGGTATTTAACCAAATTTCCGCAGTAGTCGCGCGACGTTGACGATAGTTTATCATATGTGCGTTAATTCCAGCCGATAGTCGAGTTAAAGCATTCATCACACACAGCGGGATGAATTCGGTGCAAGAAGCTCTTCTGTTCGGTGTCCCTTTAATAACTATCCCAATTTTTGCCGATCAGGATTCGAATGCCGTCATCGCTCAAGAGAGAGGTTATGCTTATGGTCTTGACAAGTTCACAGTAACTAAGAAAAAAGTTGTGGCAGCCATTCGAGCAGTATTGGGTAAAAACGGTCAAATCAGGTGGGTTGGTTTCAAACTATTATTTACTCATTGTTTTCTCTTCAGTTCCTACACACAAAAAGCTCACGAAGCTGCCAGAATCTTGAACGGAAGTCAAGACAGGATGAGCAAAGAAATTCAGAGACTCGTTCGGATATCAGGTACGAATTATTGGCAAATTTGTGTACTTTGGTCAATTATTTTCAATAACGAGGAGCTGTGAAAATATTTTGTGTAAAAATCTCATAATAAAGAACGGAAATAATATGCTAGAAGATTTCGGATGATTCACGAAAACTATATTAATATATTTATTTTTTAATTGTGGCCCCATGATCTTTTTTTTTTTACTATCAACATTTCATGAATATTTCCGTTTGAATGAAAGTGCAAAAATTGTATTTGAAACTTTTTAAAATTGCGTGTTGGTATTCATTAGTTTCGAGTCAAAAACACTTTTAAAACGCCATTTGGTCCATGTTTTATGCACAAGTTCCTCGAACTTTTGGTGTTCGAGGCGATCCGTCGAAAAAGTGTCAATTACGCAACATAATTGCATTATCCGTTGTTCCATTGTTGAAATGTTGCCAGACCGTTTGCACACGTGTTTGCACAACTCATTTGCAGGCACAACACGACAACTGGCGCATCTCCGACTCAATACGCAACACCTCAATCTTCTACAGTACTACAATCTCGATGTCTACGCATTTCTTCTCGTTGTGACACTTACCGTAATCTATGCGGCTCCAAAATTGTTGCGAATGGAATTTGTTAGGATACGAGTGATAATGAAAAAGAAAACCGTGTGAAATAATTTGATTTCGAATTCAGTATGCGTTCTCGTCACTATACAATATTTCCTTATTTGACGTGACAGCCTACTGTAAAAGGATATTCGTGTCAATTGTTATTTGAATTAGATTTTTATTGCATTTTTTATTTGTACCATTCATTTCAAATGTTAAATAATTTATGATAAGAATGATGATGATGAATCTGCGGTACATTTATCAATTGCATGATTGTTTTTGTGATTATAATGGTCCCTAGACTAGCCAAGGTCAATAAGGTATTATTAACAAGTTTAACGCGATAGCGATAAACAATTCGAATTGCAATATCCTGAAGGGAAAATGCTCGTCTATTTTACGGGCGTTTTCGCCAATTTTGTGGCCACATAAAAATTTCAATTCGAATCGTATACGAGAAATTGCCGGAACTTTGACGTCTCCTATATTTTTCTTTCACGTTTCGTAAACAAATAAAAGTGAAACATTATAATTGAAAAGAAGGAAAACAAAAAGTGCGGAACATAAAGTAATGTTTGAAACAAGCAAACATTTCAGAAGATACAAGGTGAAATCATTATTTATTTTAATTGCCATTATTTTTAGAAATGGATATTGCAAAAAACTAAAAAACCAGTGGGAGTAGAAATATTTGATGAATATTTTGAAAATAAAATTTTATTTTTCAAGAATAAATTTCTCCAGTTGAAACCTTGGCAAAAACGGAAGTTTTCGAATGAATCCAACCACTTCAAAAATATAATTGCTTTGAATAAAACAATTTTTTTACAAATAAGCAGAAAAATAATTTAAAGTGAGTTTGGAAATGTAAAAAACGTAAAAGAAGAATTTAAATGATGCGATTCGGTAGGTAACAAGATCTTATTTTCAAAAATTCATAAAATTTTATATCGAATTATTTTTCTAACTAAAGAAATCCCAAATGTGAGGTGTGCTTTAACTGCATTAATTATATGTGAATTATATGCCGAATAGTTTTACGGAACTAGAAAAAAACCATAAAAATGTCAAGCTCGTTGCGAAAATCAACGGAAGAAATTCAAATGGAATGGGTGTCTTTTGGGGTTTTTCTGTGGTATTTGCGTCACTGTGTTTGCACACATTCTCGACCCATTTTTAGTGTTTTTTCCCGAAAGAAGAGACTACCGTAATTAATCCCAGACGTGTTACGGTTCGAGTGAACTTTCGTCTATTTTTTCGAAATTCGTTCCTAAATGTAAAGCGCGATTCTCAAAAAAGAAGCTATCAGAATTTTTCTCTGCAAGACCTTTTTTTTCAGACGAGTTGCGGTTCACGTTCAACCTTGGAAACTCAAAACCATTCGGATTTGAAAAATAATCAATCGTCAAAAAAATTCATTTTTTACTGGTTCTTTGAGCTTTTTTGGGAACTCATAATACCATACCATTTGTCCAAAAACGTGTTGCAAATATTGTACCAATTTCAATGAGAAGCTTTTCAGCAAAATCGAATGTTCCCAGGGACCACCCAATTCCCGCCCGGAAGGTGCCTCTAAACAATAGCGTGTGCCCTTTTTTTCCCCATTGTCCGACGAATACTCATGACTCAAAAACTGGCCAAAGAATAGGAGAGCGAATTCAAATTTTTGTGGCATTTCGTTGCGGCATCGGTGTGTGGTGTCGCATCGTAAATCATTGGATTCGGCCAAAAACTTTGATATCATTAATTCGCGGTTGCATGTATTGACTACTTGACACCACATTCGATGCCCGGCGGTGTGTAAATCATCTGGCATGTGCAATCGGTGCGAGACCACGCCTACCCGACTCACTGGGTCAGCTCATTTAAATATCCGAGCATTTATTCTTTCTCGACATTTATTTCTTTCTCATTTATCTAACATCCCAATGTGTAGTCATCCGATAAAGCCATGAACTCTCTTGGTTTCTTTAAAAATATTCCTAGAAAAATATAATTGTTTAATTAAAAGATAATATCTCATAAAGTTTCTATTCTTTCGCCATAATAAAAAATTTAAAAACAACATCAATACTGATTTTCATTATTTTGATAATATGTTTTTTTTCGAAGCAAATTTCCCATGTGCAAACCAAATTATTGTTTTTCATTTTACCTTGATATGATTATTTTCGGTAAAAAATTTCGCATCCCCCCTTTCATCGTCATCTCAAAAATCGCGTTTTTCCGTTTTTGCAAAGCTTCAGACAAACAAGCGACGAACGTTCAATAGCCTATCATTATACCAAATACCCCATGAGACCAATACTCAAAATGTCATAAATATTTAGTTGTTTGTCCGCCTTTTTTTGTGCACGCGACATTGCCCTTTAGCTTTCGGTCTCTATACGGCTCCCAAATCTTGATGCAAATTTGCATAGGACAGATGTTTATCATCGTACATCTTCCCGCACGGGTTTAGCGGTGAGTGATGGTGCAAAAAGACGAATGCCTGCTGCTGGAATCGAACCAGCGTCGCCACGGCCACAACGTGGAGTACTAACCACTATACTAAGCAGGCCGAAAGAGCGCCAACGGAGCGACGTATATCAATTGGCAGCAGCAGAAAGAGTGCCGCACCGTTCTCATCGCATTTTGCATGCAATTTGTAAAACGAAATGCGATGTCAACAAGTGTATCGTCGTCAAATAAAATGCACAAGTCCGCAATGTCACTATATTTTTTCACTATCTAACAGATATGAAAAAGTATTTGAAAAAAATCAGAAATTAAATTGCGAATTTCTGTTAATAAGCATGTTGCGGGATTTCACCTACTGCAATTTATTCAGAAACTATTTTACAACGCGTAATTTTCACGTGATAAAGATTTTCAATGCCCAATTTTTGGAGTTTCAAGTTCGCAAAGGTACAAACGATAAGTACGAATATCGAAAATAAGCGAAACTGAAATCATTGCGGACTATGCATTTAATTTGACGAAAATAAACATGTTGTTGATATCGTAATCTTTTTTTTCACAACCAAATAACTTTAATTTTCGTTTTTTAAAATTTCTTATCTATCGCTAGAAACGATCATCCTGTGTGTGTAGAGAGAGAGAGAGAGAGAGAGTGAAATTTTTAAAATAAAACTGTGTGGTTCGTCGAATATTTTTTTTTCATTTTTGATATATTAAAATCATTTTGGTTTATTCGTTACGTGAGCGTTTCGTATTTTTGCAAAAAAAAAGATGAATTGCCTATAAAAGGATATTGTAATTAGCCGTTTATCCATAAAAATGAGGATTATGAGAATTCGTTGTGTTTTCGAATTCGATTCAAATTTTTTTTCTGAAATCTCAACAATGTCCCTGAGAATCAAATGAGAAGTTGAATTCAAAAAAAGTACGCAAAATCGAATACCTCTTCTTCTAGCAGAAAAAAACCAACACAGAAAGGTCGTTAGCACCGTATCCCGCGATTATTTGATTTGCACTCCTTCCGCACAATTCATTTCATTGGCAATTTAGCGCGAAAATTGTTCGCATCGCGGTGACTGTTTCAAATGAGCAAAAAGAGATGAGGAAACGAAAATCGAATGATCGAATGAGCGAGTTGAGGCATCTGGCATCTCACCAAGTGGTGCCAAATTAATTCGTTTTATTGTATATGATTGACCGTGGAATGCAGGAAACGAGAAGAATTTGGGTTTGGGTCCGATCCGTTGAGGACCCAATTGCGGGTTTTTTTTTGAAAAAGAAGACAAAAGCTAGTCATCCGTTTCGAATTTTATTGTCATAACTTGTTTGTCCGTCAATCAAATATGGGAGGTTTCCGTTTCTTCTCGTCGTATTCCGGCCATTTCGAAAATATTTTGTTGTCGCATTTAAGGTAGACGAAGTGTTTTTGACATAAAAATGGCATACATAGTTAATTGAGCATAGATAAATTCTCATAAACTATTCGACATTTGTATTTCAATTTCCAATATTAAAATGGAATAGTATCGTCCGATTTTTCTTACAATTCGCTACAAGACCAAAACATGTAATTTTGTCGACTTGTCGGTCCCCTTGATTCTTCTTCTTCTTCCCTTACCTCACGTCTTCTATGATTCTTCTCATTTCCGTATCTCGTTTCGTTGATTTTTGCACAAAATGCTCCCATTATTCAAAACAACTTCTTTTGCCATAGTTTTTATACATAATCTCGGTGAGGCGAAATTGTTTTTGTGTAATTCCTTCGGGGCGTTCTTCTACATCTGCCCTAGGCGGTTCATGCTTCTGACATTCCAAATTTTGAAGGTTATTCTCAAATTTAGCGAAGATTCTGTCTAGCAAAGTTTCATTGAGTTACGTATTTTAATATGTACTTATTGTGCACTTTTTTGCACTCATAAGATTGAATCAAAATTTTGAGTGACCAAGGTTTTTAACTCAAATTTCTTAAGGTCCCCTCTCAATTTTTCCATATTATTCCATTTTCCCAGATGTCGACGAACGAAGAGTTATAAACAATTCATTCAATTTTGGATGTCGGATGTTATTTGCCACGAAAGACGAAAAAAACTATACGAATTTAATATTCTTAATACCCATTTCTTTATTTTTGTTTTCAATCATCGTTTCCTCAAAGAAAAATCTAAGAAAATTGCACACACATCGTCAAGCTGAAATTATGAGTTTTTTTTTTGCAAAAGTATCAGATTCCATGCATCGTAAAGATTTTTGGAGTAGATCAAAATACGACGGCGAAAAAATTTGAGGAAGACGAAGAGGAAACGATGCATCTTTAAAATTCCCCCATAAAATGGTTGAAATGAAAAAATCAAACTTTTCGTGGTGCATTCATCTTTGGTCAACGATGCAAATGCTTCTTCAGCTTTCACACAATTCTCAGAATAATAGGTCAAAAGCTTATTCCCAGGCAGCGTTCGTTGACGATGGCGCGACTATTTGGCGCCTGATCATTTTTTTTGTCTTTTCGATTTTCGATGTGCTGTTGTTTTTTTTTTTTGTTTTCACTTTGAGCGAACGTTTCCGCATCATCGGACTCGGTTTTTTTTTGTTTACGTCTGAGCTTCTATAAAAGATCCTTACTCATTTTTGTTGTTTTTTTTTCGTTTATCTCTTCTTCTTATTTTTTCGTTCGTTTCGCCACCTCGAATAACATCGTTATGTGTGGTCCGAATGAATTGAAACGAGGATGAAGATAAACGAATGGAACGACAAGAAGAAAGAGAAGAAGTGGAGAAGTGAAACACTCGACCACCGAATTTCAAACCTTTTTTGTTCGGAACGCGTTCAGTTTTTCTCATTTGCATTTGACATGGCTCGCTGGTCAAGGTCTCGCCAAAATGTTGCCAATTCGATTCGAAATCTCTTATTTACCCATTTTCTCAAATTCTTGCTCTGCTGTCTTTTATGAGTCCGACACATTCGGTTACTATAGTGATCAAGTGCTAATGCGCATCTGTCTGACCATCATGCATTACGCTAATATTTGAATACCAAGATTTTTTTTTTCAAGGAAATGCAGTTTTAAATTTTTTTAGGCAATTCTTCAGTTGAATAAGGCTTATTAGAACTTCTAACTTTGATTAGAATACCAACTGATGGGTAATGCATATTTTTGGGTTGATGTCCCTGTTGGTCATGCGCTTAAAACAATTTCATTTCGAAACCACTAAACTAATTTCACTTGGTGACCTCATTGGCTTTTTGAGCATCACACTACGTCGGCGTTTGCCGTTCCAAAATGTCGTAGGTTGTTCAATTTGTGGGCGGAGTCTGTCTACTTCTTGTGGTACGTCATCGTATTTCAGAATTGTCTGCCCATCTGCAAAGAATGCTCGACGAGACGCTTGTCGGCGCCAATTCTCATTTCCATCATAATCGTGCATTCATTCGCAATTCTCTTGTCTCAATTTTCTCAATGCGAGCAACCATTGCAGCCACTTCACGCCACATTCAGACGCCAATTTCCGCACCGGACAAGGTTTGTGCTAGCCGGTGGGGCGGCGGTTTCCCAAAATAGACGGCGGAGCAAACTGTCGGCCCGAATTCGAAAATCGCAACACTCGCTCGTTCAATGACAGCGTTTCCGTCGTATAGAATCTCGCGCGAAAAGAAAAAAACAAAACAACAAAGCCAATTAGTTAGGAATGACACAAAAAATGGTGACAAATTAGCCGGTGCGACCCTCCCGATGCACCGACGACGGCGGCCGTGTTGACGGATTACACGTGTCAACCGAACATTGAATTATTAATGGCACTGCGCCAAGTCAGCCTTGCGATAAACTTTTTTTGAAAAAAAGAATAAGGCGATGAAGATGAAGAGAGGCGGAAATTCAAATTCGCATTCCACTTAGGTCGTCTGGAAATTTTCGAAACATTGGCCGTGCCTTTTCAGAATTCAAATTCTCTAATTCAATTATTCCGCTAATTTAATAATGTTCAAAACGAATTAATTACCAGATAATGATTTTAATTAATTATCTCAGATTAGATTTTGACCAATTTCACGAATTCAGAGGTGATTCTTCTGATTTTCCTTCACATTTTGTGTATTTTCTAGAAATGAGTTGCAAATTTCAAACTCATCCGTGCATCTCTCATTTTTTTCGCATTCTTGTCACTTTGAATTTATTTCCATTTTAACTCATCCATCTTCAAAATGTCTCATTTTGCACTCGCTTGACCTATTCTTCGCTTCGCCACGCCTCTCTCCCATTTTTTTTGCGTACGGTAATCGAAAAAAAAGGGAAATGGAATTAATATTAATGAAAAAAGCTTGTCGCTTCTTGTTGTGTGTGGTTTTCCCACGACTACTTTGTCGACCCTTGCTCGCCATATCTTTTTTCGAGATGTTTCCTCTTCTACCCGTGTTATTGGAGAATTCAATTTTGGTCTTCGTTGTTGAGAAAAAAAAACACAAGAAATTTAATAATTGTTGGCTTGAACACAACTATTTTTTACATCGATCACTCGAATCACAAAATTGACTGCAAACAAGTAGCCGAACGAAATCAAATTGCAAATTGCCACCCAAATGGGGGTTTGATGCTTTAAACTGAAACGTTTGTATGAATCGGCGGCACAAATTTATGACGAAACCGAAAAAAAATGTTTTACAAACGCGGCCAGATATCCATTTTATGCGAACCTACTTTTTCCCGTTTGAGAATTTCATAATAGTTTCCGGAAATCGAAAATCTCAATGGTGTGGGCGTCTTAATCTTGCAACCACATGAATTTTATAGTTTTCTTATTTCGCTTAAGAATTTCTAATTTTTGATATACATACATAGATAAGTGGATTTTCCATCTTGTTAATGTTTCATTGCGATTCGCGTCTCAAAATGCCACCCCAAAAAAGGAACGAAACGATTTGAGGGGACAAGTGCATTCGAAAGTCGAAACAAAATCAATTATTCGCGCAATAATTGCTCTCAAATGCTTTGTGAATTCGGCTTGTCGCCGGGGATCCACTCGTGTTTCAACAATGTCGGACCCACTCTCGAGCCTCTCGACTCCAATAGTGCTCATTGTTGCTGAAATATAATTGCGTTTTTGGCACCAACCAATTTTTTTTATTTCGTTTCGTTTTCGACGTTTTCAATATACTATCGAGAATCACGCCAATGCTCGATCATTCAACATTTTCTTGGAGTAGTTTAAACGGCTTATTCGTCAAACTCCAATTATTTTTCTACTAATTAAGTTACGGAAAAACTCCAAATCTACTTTTCTTCTTTGAAATTAATATGAGTGTGTCGTTTAAATGTGATCAAGACACAACGCGAAATCGAAAATTCGACCTCAACATTTTTTTAAATAATTTTTTTGTCGGCTCAACTTTTATTAATCCATTAGCACTTTTTTCCACAAAAAATACATCTTTTTTGCTTTTTTTTTCGTCATTTTTTTGCTATCCCATATTCATTTCAAAAAAAGAACATAAATAACGTCACATTATTCCGCGGTTTCCTGTGTGGTACGACACGCCGAAACCAGTGAGGCCAGCAGAAGAAAAAAAAATGAGAAATGCATTCATTACACTTGACATTTTTCATCACGCAAGCTCATTTTCTTCGTTTTTTTTTTGGAGAGATTCTTCTCATTCTCGTCGAGAAGGGTCAAAACGAGGATGCGTGAAATCGCTTAATTGCCTTCATACTGTAGCAATTGAGAAGTTGTGCAATCTCGCGGATAATTGCCAACTGATTGGTGGGAAAGTATGCACGAGGCAACATCTAATTGCTTCATCTCCTACATTTTCCACTTCTTATTTTCAATTCTTATAGTTCTTCTATCCTTTTTGTCACATTTCAAGGATCCTTCAATCGAATTCCCAACAAAGGAAGACATCATATCAATATCTTATCATTTTCCCTAAATTCGCCAAAATTCCTAAAGGCCCATCAACCGGATTCGAGCACGGAGCTCTCTTCGAAATATGATAACAGTGCTGTTGGTGGCGACACCCAATTATTCGACGGAACCGCTTTGATTCCTACCGTATCCAGCTGATTCCATTGTCTCGTCGCCTCCGCGTAAAACGATAATCTTCTGGAAGCGTCCCTTTTAAGGAAATCCTCTTTGTTTTCCGGAATACTGCTATATGACGTTTTAAATCCCGAAATGCTATTTTCGCGTCGTACATGAATAAAAAAAATGGATTCCGAAGTCGGCATGTGATGAAACGCAATGTGAACCTCCTTTGATCTATTTGAAAACCCATGTGCGAATTTAGCGACGATCCTTTAAGATATCATCTGAAAAGAATGTGTTTGATTGTTTGCACATTTTGGCACCCTTTGCGAAACGTTGGCACCAAATGGTGTGGGTGTAAACGATACACCGCCATGTGCGGCACGAGCCCACCACTTGAATGGGCGGAGTCGGCCTGCGCAGTATGCTGGCTGCCTATAAATAGGCGGCTCACCGCGCTGCACTTCGCATTATTCAACGTTCACATTTCTGCTCCAAAAAATTGTTTTGTATATATATTCAATGACGTTTTTTATTGGTCGTTTCGCTCTTTAATCGATTTCCTTACATTGGTTTATTTTCAGATAATGTCAATCCTTCCACAATCAGGTCGTCAAAACTCCCGTCACGGTGGACTGTTCCGTTTGGCGAAGAAAGGATTGAAGCGAGGTCTCGAAAGCGCTCAACGCAAAATTCTGAAGTTCGGACGACGTAAAATAGGAAATCATATTCCGTTGGTCAACTGTGAAGAGGAATTCATCACCGATTGCCATTACCGCAAACAGAATACCGAAGAGCAGAAAAAGGCGAAAGAAGAAAAGGTTCGAATTCTCATTGTTTTCTCCCGTCAATAATCGGAATTTTCAGAAACGACGTGAACTTTTTGATCGCTCCTCCATCATTATTCCATTCCTTTTGATTCGTTCTGACATTCGCGGCAATTACGAACTTTACTGCGACCATCTCGATTTGCTCGTTGAGAATTTCTTGGCCGACTGCAAGGGAGTCAGATACCTCGGAGATGTCGTCACATTCCAACATCAACATCTCGCCATGATCTTCAAGACGATTGTCAGCAGAGTGTCGGGAATCAAAGAACTGATATTGGATTCGATTGGAAATACTCTAATCATGCAGACGATTATTGATTTCTATCAGGTTATTAATAATAACAGCAATCATTGCGAAAGGTAACATTTTTGAGGTAATCCATGAAATTGATTTCAAACTTTCAGATTCCATCTTGAAAACTTGTCGATTGTCGGCAGCACGCGCATGAATGACATGGAAGTGCTTTCGTCGCTTCTGATGCTTTCACGAAGAAGCCTTCAATGCCTCAGACTTCGCTACTGCAAGGTTCACTCATCGGAACAAGCGCTTCGTCTTTGGACCGCGGTCTCGCAATGCTCGAAGCTCAACCAACTCCAATACGAGCCATACAAGTCGGATCCATTTAGCAGGCCGTATTTGGTTGATGCGATTACCCGCAAGAAGATGACATCGTTGATCCTGACCGACGTCGAGGGAATCAGCAACGCTGATGTAATTGCCATGGCAAACGGTGGAGGTCTTCACGAGCTCGCCGTCATTGGCGATAATATTACTCCATATCTTTATGCTATGCCGGAAACGAAGAAAATTGTCCAGAACTTGGATAGTCTTCTGATTCAGGTACCACAATTCCGACGAACATTCGCCACTAATAAGCTATGCTCTTTTAGAACGATGAAACTTTCGATTTGAATGACTGCCAAATGCGTAATGCTATCTTATGCACCCTTCTTCAACTCTCTTCATCTTCCCTTCTCGAAGTATGAAATTGGACGAATTATTTGGCCAATCTTACTATTTATAGGTTATCCACACAACCAAACCATCCGTCTCTGACACAGCCAAAGTGATCAGCTATTGGTTGCAATTGGCCAAGTGAGTTTCATGCGTGTTAAAATGAAAACGAAGCCTATTATTTTTTTTTCAGCGAATCCGAGCGCACTATTATGCTCAAACTTGAAGATTGCTCACAGGATCGCCAGGATGCTGCTGTTGGAAGGGTCCTCCGCAAATGTCGCAAAGCGCAGAAGTCGTCGTGCTCGGAAAACGGAATTTCGCTTTGCCTGGCCAATGGAGAACTCATTGTTCTTGACAAGAAGACGTGGTTCACGGATGAGAATATTTGAGCAATTGACTAGAAACGTAGATCTCCCCTAAATATCTCGGTGCATATTATGCTAATTCTATCGGTATCATGTCGAACATTATTTTCCTATTATCGATCATATCACCATTTGTTTTTTTTAAATATATTCTTGCGCGGGGTTGGGAGGTCTAGATGCTGATATTTTTATTATATAATATTTAATATCATGAAATATGTCTGTTATGTATATATTTTTATATGCGATCAAATAAATCATTTAAAGCTTCACAAATAGTATATATATATATATATATATATATCATTAAAAATAAACGGAGAAACATTAACTTCAAATAAAACTTATAATTCCTACTTCTTTAAATATTATAAATCATCAAAAATAATAATAAAAACACACATTGGAAAATGTATCTCAATAAATTGCGTAATTTTCGGTGTTTCGTACGCATTCGTTGAGTGTCGGTGTGCTGCGGTAGTTTGAAAATTTCAAATCTGATCAGTCGTTCTCGGAACGTCTTTCTTTTTCGTTCTCCCTTTAATAAATTTATTCTTTTCCACAAAAGTTCTAAATAATTTCGAAAGTTTGCAGCTTTGACATGGCTCTACGAGATTTAAAAAATGTCAGTAATAATTCAGCATCTTCATATGAGTAAGATTAAAACATACTTACGATAAATGTAATATTACTTTTAGAACTGCTTCTAGTACTAGTTTTTATAAAAGAAACATTTCTTCATTTTTAAGTAAACCAATCGTAAGAGTTAACAATAAATGTGAAATGCATCATTTTTTTTTAGAAAAAAGAGACAGTTTCGGAAAATGAATTGAGCGACAAAGAAATCTCGCAGCTAGAAAATGACGTATCTATGCTCTCAGTATCATCACCAATTTCGGCAACAACTAGCGTAAATATTAATTGTTGTTTTCTTTGTTTAATCTGCTCTTTAGAAGCGTATGTTTACTACTCCACAACATAAAGTTGAAGGAAAATCTACAAATCTACTTCGGAGTCTAAAATCTGAAAATGAAAGGAAGATTCTGTTTGATTTGTATCCCGAGCTGTTCGAAAAGGACGAAGCTTTTGAAAAGCGCCAAATTGCTGGTGGTTCAACAAACCAGGAAAAACGACGAAGGCCAAAAATTGTAAAGATTGAAATATGTAAACATTTATAATATCCTCAATCATAGGATCCTAAAGAAGAATTTGATAGTGATAGAAGTAATGACGATGATAAAGAAAACACGCCACCGCTCGGCTTAAGCCGTCATGTTCGAACTCAGAATGTCAGTGATAGAAGCCCTGAATCCAGTGACGACGACTTTGAAGAATGTATAAGTTTACAGTTTCATTTTTTCTATGTACTTCTTTCAGACCTTAAAAAGTTGAGAAATGATTCCGAGCCAGCAAAGTCCAAAACTCCTCCTAGAAAAGCCGCACCAACCAAGTAAAATTACCAGCAGTTGAAAATGTAAAGAATTGATTTTGTTTTAGATTTGTCGTTGATGATGATTATATCAGTGAAGATGAAGACATTAATTTCGATGATGATGAAGATGAGAGCTTCACATCGCCTTCTGACGAATCTGATCGGGAAAATCATGATGTCCGCAGAAAAAACGAAAAAATTGCAAAGCCACCATCTGACGACGATGAACATTTTTTGATCTCACTAACTGAAAGTTATAAAGGCAGAAGGTAATGCGATGAACAATACAAGGGTATTACTTGTATTTTGTAGACACGCGGATGCTGAACCCTTTGTGAAACCCGGGGCAATGCGTCAGAAAAAGAATAGAGAAAATTTGACGAAAAAATTATTCGATATTTTTAAGGAACGATGTTTCAGCGAGGTATTTTTTTGTAAGCAAATATATTCAAAATTAAAAAAAACGCGAGTTGCTTTCTTTAAATATTTTAGATTCCGGACTCTCTTTTGAAAATCGAATGGAACTCTCGTCTTCGAAAATCGGCCGGTCAGTGTCGAAATCATTCTCTCGGATCGAGTACCATCGAAATGTCGACCGTCGTGTGTACCACGGCTGAACGAGTTCGAGATACTCTTGTGCACGAATTATGTCATGCGGCTGTTTGGATTGTCGATAAACTCTACAAAGAAGGACATGGTCCTGGATGGAAGAAATGGGCTCGTCAATGCATGCGCGAATTCAAATCTTTGCCCATGATCGAGCGATGCCATAGTTATGAGATTGAAGCCAAATTTTTTTATGTTTGCGAAAATTCCTATTGTGAGCAAACGTAAGAAAGCTTTTTTAAATTCAAAAATTATAATGGTTTTAGAATAAAACGACAATCAAAATCTCTGGACATGGATCGAAAAATTTGTGGTCGATGTAAAGGGAAATTCATTCTTTATCGATTTGATAGAAGAACCAATCAGCGTGTTCTCGTCGGCGGCTCTGATCCTGTAAAATCAAGCGTTTCTTTGCAAACTACAAAATCTGCTAATAAATTCGCTATTTTCGTTAAAGAAAATTATTCTAAATATCGAACTGCTGGTACAAAACATTCGGAAGTATGTCGAATTTATTCTAGCCAAAGATGATCAAAATTTTTTAGATAATGGAAAAATTATCAATGGTGTACAAAGCACGCAAGTTACAAGATTAATTAATTAATTTTATTGTGTATGTCTGTATCATTTAAACCAGGTTTCAATAAAAATTTATTTAGTTTTCCAACAAAAATTTGGTTTTGTTGGTTGAATTATTTGTAAAAATCGAAAGTGATGTGGAATCAATCAAACGTTTTTAATGTTTAAAGAAATGTGAGTTTTTCGCAATAAAATTGAAATGCATTCGAGCATTTTCTATAAACTTTTTTTGTCTGATTATTTTGAAGAAATCTTGAGCTTCATCGCCAGTTTCTCACATGATCAACGATGATGCCTGTTTATTTTCCTCAAAGTTTCTTCTCAAGTTTTCCAAAACAATTTTTGTGGTGTCTGGATCCAATATTTGTATATTCGATTACAAAATCTGTTGAATATTGAAATTCAGTTTGATGTTAATCAAAACAATAATGGGTTTGCTCCGAAATAAACGAAATTATCGGCGGAAGGAGTACATAAAATATGAAACAATACAGCGTATAATTCGTGCCAATTTAACCTTCACCTACTTGCATTCCCTCGAACGCGTTTTCATTTTCACTTCAAAAATAATCGATGCTGGTTTCACGAATTGTATTTCATTGTGTATTCCAACTGAAAATTCTTCTAGTGTGCTTCACTACGAATGTTTATCGAAATCAGTCGAGCGGTCACACTCGCGATATTAATCGCCTCCTCTTGAAAAAATGCGCCGCAATTATTTGTCCGTGTGCTTTCCAATGAAAACATCTGCAAACTTTTGTGTATGTGGTCCCTGTATATTTTTTTATTTTTTTAACGAACATTTTGATAAGCTAATTTTTACCTATCATTTCGGCCAATAGGCGTAATGACATAATCAATTTTTTCATAAATATTTATAAATCCTTATCATTTCTACATTTATTGCATCGTTTTGCTAAAAAAAATGGCGGCTATTTATCAGTGCATCAATTGAAAGCAATAAATTACTCGCAGTTGAACAGAAGAATAGTGGAATGTTCGTTGTCTGAACCTTATCGGTGAAAGGCTACGATACAACACGATTCTTCTTTTTTTCTACTGCAGTAAGTCGTGATTTGATATTACCTTTTTCTACTAGTAAATTTTTTGTCATTGATTGTTTAATCATTAAGGGTTACTGTAGCAAAGAAGAATGTGCAAATGTGCGTTCTGTTTCTGCGTAGAAAAAATAAATTGAATTATCATTCGTAAAGCAGCTCTTCTTTTTCTAATTGTATACCCCATCATTGTTTCTGCTTGTTTGACTTAATTGAATTAAGGCGTCCGTGCACACGAACGAATTTCAAAACAACTGTGTTTTGGCAGCTGATCAAGCACTTTTATAGTGCGTGCATCCTCCTTCCCTCTTTCTATTTCATGTTTGTCCTTTTTATCTTGATATTTTTGGTGACTTATATTTGGCTAAAATTAGTTTAATTTCAGTCATGATGACTCATTGATTGAGTGCGAATTTTCATTGAGACTTCATCACCCGAAATGTTTACAATATACACCTCTGATAAATTTTCAACAATTTACGAATTCGATTGTTTATTTATTCTATATTTTCCCTCTATGACGCCTAAAAATATTGATAAACATTTGGTTCTAAACTTGCCAATATTTCTCACACACAAACGCACATTTAATTCATCGATTTTCCGTGCCAAATAGCCCCATTATTTCGCATCAATTTCTCTGTTCAATATAAGATGCCGATTTCTAGGCATGCCGATACCGGCCGAACCCCCTTTGACCGTCGAGACAATTAATGAAGAAACCGAAGAAGTAATCCAGAAGAATGAAAATGATATCAACAAAAATGGTGAGTTTTTACGTTTCTCATTTTTTAATTCTCAACATACTTATTTAAAACCCATCACTGGCTCATTTTAGATTCAATACACTCCGAATCATTCGAAACTGCAAAGGAAATTGAAACATCGGGAAATAATGATGAACTCGACGCTAAAGGTTATTTTTTAAACGAGACATTTTGCTTCGAAGAACTCAGCTCCTTTCAACACACGCCAGAAAAAAAAACAACTTGACCAAAAAACATGTCGTTCGAGTCTCTTGAGAAATGTCTTCACTGTGAAGTCTTCACTTTTGAATGATGGACTAAAAATGCGGGTGTCCTTACAGTTGATAGCGTTCCACCATTTTTGATTGTGTGTTCGAATTGTTGATAACAACAAATAGGACGAATCGTCCGTTATCTTGTAGATCGAAAACCCAATCGATTGGACAATTTTTTTTTCAATAATCATGAATCTCTCCATCGTATTCGCATGTGTTCTAATTTTTTGGTTGGACTATTCTGTGTCGAAATAATTTTTTATTAATGGAATATATCAAGAAATCGTGTCAAATTGGCGGAGACCAAATTGCCGACGCTTGAATTTCGCCCGCAACAACGCCGATTTGCAATAAGAGTTGCGAAAAGCGCGCAATAGTGGAGCGGCAGAAGCAGGAGCCGGAGCAGCTCGTCCAGCTCTCAAGGTCCCCTCGTCGCGCCGTCATCTCATCGATTCCCTTCTATTACTTTGTTGTATGGCGAGGGTCCCTCCGCGAATTTGCACGCTGTTTTTTGCCCTCTACGCACAATTTTGTGAATACTTTTTCTCGAAGCAGCCTCGATTATGTTTGTATCAGAATTTGAAGGGTTCCTCCGTGTTCTCCTTTTTTCCTTTGTGTATTTCTTCAAAGAAGTTTTTTTTCGCCAAGACATCAAATCTCACGAATAATCAAGAAATTGCGATTATTCCGTATAAGATTATGCATATTTTCTTCTCGATATTATAGCACAAACGGGACCATTAAGAACTGCGTGGAATAGAGATTTTCTCGTCAAATTTGTTTATTTTTTTCGTTCATTTCTGTCCACTCTAGCAGTATTATATATGCCATTGTTCCTTTCGTATTGTTCAACAATTTTCTGTTTTATTCCAGCCGATTAAATCTACGCGTTTTTCCCACAATATAGTTTTTTTTGTCTCAATAGTGCACTCTTTTTTACAAAAAAAGCAAAACAGATTCTCGAAGATGGTGTTTGTCTTTATTCTACAAATTAGATTAATTTTCAACAATGGATAAATTCATCTTTTGAATTGAAATTACCCCAATTTTGACGGTGTCTGGTGAGAAATGTTGCCGTTTGGACGAATTGTGTCGAGTCTCCGGAAATTTGAAAATCGACGCGTTTCCGCTACTTGCGATTTGAACTTTTCACAACAATTTGCCCCTATTCGCATTATCAACATTTTTCACATTTATTAGAAAATTATGTGAATTAGTATAAAAAGAACTCGAAATTGTACATGAAAATGTGTTTGAGAGTGTCCATTTATTTCTTTTATTCGTTATCAAAAAATAATGGATTGACTAGAATATTCCGTAGTGAATTGGAATCAAATTTATCAAATCTTCTTATACGTAATAATCCGCTCCCATTATTTTCGATAATTTAAGATTAAAACGCCCTTCTATTTAGATATAAGACTGAGATTCTTCTATCTTCAGTATTCATATTGAAGTTATTCAATAAAAACCGATATTTTTGCCGTCACTTTCATTTTTCGTTTCCAATTGCATAATAGTCTATTTCTTTAAAAGGTTCTCTGTCATAACTCAATATTGGGTTTATAAATTGAAATCTTTCTTCGGTCATAATTTCACTTTAGGACCCATTCATTTTTTTTCCAGTTTATGTTTTACAATTACTTTCGATTTAAACCGTGTTACAATGTGTTGGAATATTTGAATTTTTAGCAAAAAATGAATTGGTAATTTGAAAATAAAAGTTTTCACTAGAAATATTCGAGTATGTCCAAGCAAACATGATTTATGCATTCCCATCATTCAAACCTGAAACCAAGAAATCCACTGGATTCTTGTGTCTGCCAACCAAATATTCCGAAAAATCTGAATTTGTTAATTTACGCGTTGTGTGTACCGACGTGTTTCCTTCAAATTCGTGCTTAACCTGATTCATATTCTTGCATATCCATAATTTCTCTCAATGATCCCTAATTGAAATTCTTTTTCATGTTGATGTCACTTTTTTTCAGCCATTCCGAATCTTTTTGACGAATGTTTTCTCATTTCCTACTGCACTTTGTCTTTTCGAGCAATTTGACTGAATTTTGCGAAATTTTCGAAGGCGAAATTCTCGAGATACGCAATTTTTGTTTCTTGAATTCGTCGAAGGTCGTTTACCCATTTCGGGTGGAACCAGTTTCAAAATAATTTTTCTCAATGATTTTTTTAAACGAATGTGTTATTTCGAGGAAAGCGATTAAATATATGTCCAATAGCCGGTTTTGATTTTATGGTTTTTTTATACAGTATGATCTTTGTCATTCTGTAAAAAATTGTTCAACGAACGAATTTCTTTTTCTTTTTTAATATTTTTAGATTCAAAAACAATTAAACTCGTGTATTTAAATTTGCAATAGAAAAATAAATAATTGGGTTACTCATAAAGAATTCAATTAGAAAATAATCAAGAGCGTAATCACCGGTAGTTTTCATTAGAATATTGTTGTTAACCATTTTCGGGTGTCTTTTTTTTTAAATTTATATTGATTTTAAGAATATAAAAGTGGTGTTTTCATTTCATGAATACGCTTTAGCCTAGGTTATCCTGTATATAATTTTTTCCGAAATCATTATACTTTATGTTTTTCAAGTGGTACCAATATTTAACACCTGCGATTTATCATGATTCAATCGACAATGTGTTTTTTTATTATTCTTTCAGTCGAATGACCTTATTTGCAACATGGTTTCTATTGCCGTACGTTCTCCATCAGCAAAAAACGGACATGTCGTTTTTCTCGAGCGCTTAAAATACATGGAATAGAAATACACAGACGAAAATGAATTTTGCGCCTTCTTGTTTCTTCGCGCATTAGTTGGTCGGCGTTGTTCATCGCAATTGTTCTTTGCCTCGATTTGTATGCGCCGGACACACCAAAAAAACTGCGATTACCGCAAAAAGCGGATTATGTAGATT